ATTAAAATATAAGTTTATGTGTAAGTTTAAAAGGTCAAGAATTGTGATTCAGACCAAAAGTTTGATGCTCTCTAATGCCAAGCATGCTGCTATTTTATAGTTTCCTGGCCACAAGCCACAGGCTTTGGGGGGAACTATTGATGCATGAGTAGGTGTTCTTGTCACAACATGAGTGCCTTGGAACGTTTGACCTTGCTTTTTCAATAGAAACAAAATAAAAACTGTTTTGATTAAAAGATAAATCAATGTGTAAAAGATTAGGTAAAAACATATAAATAAAGCAAGATTTTTGTGGTTGTTGTCCACACTTGCACTAGACATCTGTGGTCCATCTCTTTCTTTCCTCGCCGATGCCACACCACCCATTCAGGTCCAACGAATCCTGCGGAGCTGGTCTCCAGCATTGATAAACCCTTTCAAACCCACTAGTATGACTAAAAATAAAATACACTGATGACACCAAATGTTGGTGAGTATGTGAAGCTACTAGAACTCTTGTACATTGCTAGCGGAAGTATAAAATCATAAAACCACTTTGGAGAACTTTAGGCAGTTTTTTATAATGTTAAATGTAAGTTCACCTTATTATTTTACAATTCCACTGCTATGTATTTAACCAAACGAAATGAAAACATGTATCCTGAAAAAGACTTTTACAATAATGTTCATAAGAACTTTATTCATAATACCTCGAAACTGGAGGCAACCCAAATGTCCATACAGTTGAACAGATGAACTATGGTGCATCCATGCAAAGGAATATTACTCAGTAGTGAAAAAGAATGTACTACTCATACATGCAACAGTGTAAATTAATCTCAAGACATTAAGTTGAGCAAAATAACCCAGACACAAAAGTGAGTGACTGAATGATTCCAATACTTTGGAAATATTATCTATGGAGATAGAAATCAGAATAGCAACTACCTACAGGGACTTGGAATTTACTGAAACAGGAGCTTGGTGGAACTTTCCAGGGTAAGAAAAGTGTTCCACCTCTTTATTGTGATATTGGTTACACAGTCATATATATTTGCTAAACCCACTGAATCTTATATTGAAGATCCATGCAATTCACTGTATGTGAACTTTACCTCAATTTAAAAAAAAATTAATGGAAAGCAATGTTTCAGCAGAAGTTCAAAGGAGGTCTGAGACTAGCACTAGACCTGGATGATATTTGTAACTCTTCTGGGGACTTTCTTTACATAAAATTTTAAAAATTAATTATTTTTATTATGTTCTACATTCATATGGCTTTAAAAAAACAACATTAAAACATACTCAGAAAAATAAAAATGAAAGAAACAGTAAAAATTCTCACTCCTTTTCTTGTTTCCCATTGTCTCAGTTCCTCTACCCGACAGACAGCTACTCTTCTCAGTTCTTATGAATTCTTCCTCAGACTCTTTAGGCAAAAAAAAAAAAAAGGCCCTAAATTTTCACTTAAGGTGATGGAGTCCGAGAAAACATGGTGTTAAACAGTAAATGTGCTGTCGAAGGTCATGCAGCATTAGAATTGTTAGCGTTAGAACTGTTATTAGAGATAATGACAATAGAACTGTTATTAGAGACGATGACATTAGAACTGTTATTAGAGATAATGACAATAGAACTGTTATTAGAGACGATGACATTAGAACTGTTATTAGAGATGTTAACATTAGAACTGGAAATTCTATTTGAACAGGTCTTTGTCCAAACTGGGTTGTTACGACTTTTCAGTGCACGATTTCTGAGGGTTTTCACATGCTGTCAGCCTTCCTTGGGTAGTCCGGTTAGAAATGCTCTTTTTGGCCAGGACTCTTGCTATTTCTAACTGCTGAAGCTATCGTTTCTCTTTAAAGGCACTGTAAGAAAACAAGACATAATTTATGAGGCCCAATCTTGTCCCCATATATTACTGAAAGGATGGAAGTCTTCAGGCTGATTTGTAGCTGCGACCAGTTTATCTTGTCACATAGATAAGATGTGAAATAAAAACAGGAATCTTTCTAAAACCAGTTCCTTGTGGTGCGGTGGGAATGATATTTTCCCAAGGCAGTCCTAGAAGTTTAGAACCCACAACTAGAAACGGAAAGCCACTCAATGTCATGTAGAATTCTCTAGACTGAAACTTTTTCTATCTGTCCTCCATAGGCATTACATACTCCCTATACCTCCCTATACATTACACATTCCCTGACTTGTTCTCCCTTCTCCCCTTCCTGCCCCCACAAACATATATAAGGATTTTTCATTGAAAAGATGTTAGATATTTTGATAGTGTTTAACTGAAATACAATGGAACTTAATGTTTCATGACAATTATTCTCTGGCTATATACTAATAAAGACATACATTTTCATATGATTACTCCTACTTCGTAGAATACAAATGTGATTTATTACCGAGGAACTTTGCATCTCCTTGAATGCTGGGGTCCTTCTAGCTTCTAGCCTTGGTCCTCTTCTCTTCTTGCCTCCTTATCCTAGGAGGTCTCACTTACTCAAAGCTTTAATTCCCATAACATGACTCCTAAATCCTGACTTTTCTTAAAAGTTGCATATCTCCAATTACCAAATAAAAATATTTATCCCACAAACACTTCCAATTTAACTTGTCTTTTATCTTTTTCCTTAATGTGTCCCCCTTCGGTATCCTCGTGCTAACATATTGACTTTGCTATCTTCACCATCTCCAAACCTAGAAACAAAACTCAATTCCTTCTTTCTCCACTTCCACACCCAATTGGTGACCAAATTTTATAGATTATTCCGCAGAGATATCTCTGACATTTGGCCTTTCCCCTCTTCCCTAACTACTGCTGTTCTAGCCTAGGTCTTTATTGTCCCTCTTCTTACTGCAGCCCCCTAAATCTATCGCAGTCTTTCTCTACCTCCTTCAGTGAATCTTCCATACATCTCCACCAGATTTGTCTTAAAAAACAAACAAGTCACATAAATTTGTTTATGTGACTTATAAGAAAGATCTTCTGTGAGCTTCCCACCCACATTCTTCCACATGGAAAGGGGAATGAGAAGCAAACTCTCCACTTGGGCACACAAGATGCTTCTTAACGTAGGTGCAGTCTACCCTGCCAGTCTCATTTCCAGCCAACTGTTTCCTATCCTCTAAAATGCTTTTTGCAAATCCATTTACTTTCCTAAAAACTAAATTTCTTGCTTGTCCTTTTACACAGCAGTGCCTTTGACCATGTTACTATCTCTACCTGATCCTTTCTCTCATCAACACCCCTTTTGTCTGGCAAAGTCCTGCAGATTTTTAAAGGGCTTTCACTCAATCTGTTAGGAGAGCCTTGCATAAATGTACCATAATGTTTCAAATATTTGAAACAGGCAGGCCCATGTCTGCCTGATTCAACTTTTTTGTTCTGGATTAATTTCTTGCTTTGCTTCAGTGGCTTTCTCTCCCTAGGCCCTCTAAACTAGGTTAGAGGGCCATAAAATCAAGTCTTAAGCCAGAAATCACTCAGGCACCTTTCGCCTTTCCTCATATCCCAACTGACTTAATTTGAAGTCTTCTTATCTCCTATTCCGATGCATATCCTAGCTCCTCCTAGATCCAGAGCTCATCCTGATTCTCTCCCTGGCATTTGAACCTTGGCTTTTCTGCATTCATTCAAAAACTGTTTATTGGGCACTTATTATATGCCAGGCACTATCCTAAAAGAGCTTTACTTTTATCCAGAGGACAAAAGCCCATCAGAGTCAGCATTTGGGATTACCATCTATTCTCAGCTTGCTCAAATTCTCAACCTGCTGGACTGATTCCTCACATTTGAATCTTCATGAAAACAGACTTCCAGGTCATATAAACCTCACTGGAACTAGATGATAAACAGTAAGGAAGGCTGTTTTCTAGACATATCCTTAAATACCTAACCTTAGAGATACCTTCAAGCTGTGTAAAGCCTATGCTATCTCCTAGGCTGAGGAATGAGACTCTTTGTGACCTTCTGGCTTCAGTCACTGTCATCTATACACCAGCCGCATGCACTCACCAACCCAGACCCACATTAGTACTTGGTCTGAGTTAAGTGTAAAAGGTGTATTTTCGTGAATCTAAAGGTAGAGTTCCTGAATGACATATGGTTCAGCAAGCACTTTCACATGATGCCAGATGAGGTGTCTGGGGTCCTGGTTTGGGAGATTCCCCTTTCTATGCAATCAGGAACATCCAATGGCTACTTTACCCACCCTGAATCAATTCCTCAGGTTAGCATCATGAAGAATTACATTAGGTTCTTCCCTAGCTCCTGGATATGATAGTAGCTTGGTGTTGGTGCACACAGCCATCAAGATAGCGTACATCCACTCCTCATGTTTGTGTCTTTTTGGCACAAGAGCTGGACTGTTTGTTTATAGATGAGTGCTCAGACTACCTGACCATCCAGCTTGACTAGCTGCCTCAGGTAGACATGGGTGCTTTTGTAACTTCTATGAGGGGCATGAGCCAGATCAAGAAGGATGTGCAGGGATATGAGAACATAGGTCTCCCCTTCCTCTCCACAGCCCATCAACAAAAGAAAGTAGAACAGATCCTGGGAAAGATGCAGAGAAAAAGGGGTGTAAACAGATGGGGATGAAGTGGAAGATGTGAACAGAAGGAAGAGAAAAATACTGGGAAAAGAGAAATAGAAGAGGATTTGCTAGGAGTAACTTCCAGAGTAAGTAAGTGCACAGTCAGACTGACCACCACTCCTCCTATAAGTCTCCCTTCTGCACTAACCCCTTTCTTTAATGAAATGTTTTCCCCAGCAATTTTCTTCTTGACCTTGAAATAGCCTCCCCTTGATAACTCCGATACTTATGAAATAGTTATAAAAACAGCGCTCTGGTATAACCTCTTTGGAAAACACTTTGGAAGCATTTACTAAAGCTAAACATAAATTTACCCTGTGACCAGCAATTCCATTTCTAGGCATAGGGTCAAGAGAAAGGAATGTAAATGTCCACCAAACCTCATATACAAGTATAATCATACATTTTAATTCAAAATAGCCCCCAAATTAGAAACAACCTAAATGTCCATCAATAGGAAAATGGATAAATAAATTAGGATATGGAATACTACATAGAAATGGAATTCTGTGTAGGATAAGAACAATCAATACATGCAAAACCACAGATGAATCTCACAGGCATTATGTTGAACAAAAAGGCCAGACACAAAAGGTGTACACCATATGATAGAAAGTTCAAGAACAGGCTAAACTATTCTTTGGTAACAGAGATCAGAATAATAGTTATATCTGGGAGGGATTATTGACTGGCAATGTGCATGAGGGAAATTTTGTGGGTGCTGGAAATAATTTGTATCTGATCTGGGTGGTGGTTACATGAATGTGTGCAAATGTAAAAATTCAACAAGCCATACATGTGACAGTGGTGATCTTTGTACGTTTTACTGTGTATTTCATAAATCAATCCTCCTTAAGGAAGCACTCCACACAGTAGACTCTAGCAGCTCTTCTTATCTAAAACCACACACATGCCCACCTTAAACACAGAAACTTTTGCATGTTTCCATTCTTCCTAGCTCTGTACTGGGCCATAATAAGCATTTACTGAATGTTTGAAAAAATAACCTCATTTTTAATGTGCATCTGTTGATATAAGAAATCAGTATTTCATTTCTTGTGTTTACTGTCTGATTTTAAGATGGGCTATATAATTTTTTCGATTCATTTTACCAGTATTTTCCCAGAATTTTGGATGATCTCTTTTCATATATTCCAGTGGGAGATATCTCACAAATTCCAAAGATTGAAGCTGTTAAGCAATGTCTTCATCTACTGTCAACCTCATTAGGTTGGATCTTGAATTTTGCGTTTTACACCCCAAATTACTCTCACCACTAGGTGGCAACAACCTAGCTGAAGTAAAGCTGAACTAAAGACCAATACAGAAAGGCAAGTAAAACAATCTAGCTTTCTTTTATTCTTTTCTTCTCATTATATTGAGTAAGGGAAAAAGCCACTCATAAATTTATAGTTGTACTGTAATTTCAGCATCCAATAATATCCCATAATTAATGGATGGGACCTGAGATCTTATCAGAGAGTTGTGTTTTCAGTGAAAACTGATGACCAAAATTTACTTTATGAAATGAATGTACCTGAAAAGTCCACTTGTGATACACTTTCTTATCTCTTTAAATGTGATAATAGATTATCTTTTTTTTTTTTCCGTTTTTGTGACCGGAACCCTTGGCTTGGTGTCGCCCGCACCGCGCTCAGCCAGTGAGTGCACCACACCGGTCCACTTGTGATACACTTTCTTATCTCTTTAAATGTGATAATAGATTATCTTTTTTTTTTTTTCCGTTTTTGTGACCGGAACCCTTGGTTTGGTGTCGCCCGCACCGTGCTCAGCCAGTGAGCGCACCACACCGGCCATCACTATATAGGATCCGAACCTGCGGCCATCCCTATATAGGATCTGAACCCGCGGCTGCTGCGCTCCCAGCGCCGCACTCTCCCGAGTGAGCCACGGGTTCGACCCAATAGGTTATCTTTTTAACTCACCTTAAACATTAACGTCAATTCTAGCACCCTAGCCAATATAGATCTTCCCCCACCTGAACAAGTATATCTCGCCCTGTAGGTCAACTCAAGTCTTTATGCTTCAGTTTGTCATTGAACTGTTCCTTTCTTTTCTTCCATTTTTATTACCATCTGGTCTTCCACAATGCTTTTGATGTCTCCCTCCCATATCAAGTTTCCCTCTTCTCCCTCTGATTATAGTCAACAATTTCTTACTAGCTTAAAAAAAAAAGTGCTAACTGATACAACTCTTTTCACTGTGTCTATTTTTCTCCTGAAGCTTGAGGAGTAAAGTACTACACAGATTGGATTGGCCATAATATCAATTCATTTTGTTCAGACACAAGGCTAAGCTGAGATCATTGAAGCTTGGTACTGATGCACTGGAACAACTTGTATTACTTTATGTGGCATACTGGGGCTTCTTGGACCTTTCCTGACCTATTAAAGGTTTGCCCTTGTAAGTTTAAAGAGAAAACGTTACCTTGCCACAGCTAAGCAGTTGATTGCATTCTCCCTTGGAGTCCTCCCACTGTGCTCTGAGAAAGATGCCAGGGAGGATGTTAGTAAAAAGTCAGCACTGGGTGTTGCATAGTGAAAGGATGGATGTGCGTATCCCACTCTTGAAACTGGAGGGAGCGGGACTTGGGGGAGATAAGTATTTTTTATGAACTTTTCTTTTTTCCTAGCTGTGGTAGTATTTTTTTTTTCTGATTTTGTTGTTGTTGTCTTTGTAACTCAGAGAATGTATTTGCATCTACCAGTGGAGGCAATTTGAGGGTTTGTTCTCCTGTGTCCAGCTGCGAAACTGACTAATGGTTGACAGGTTTCTTGCTGGCACTTTGTTCACTGAGCAGCAGTGGCTTGCTCAAGGTACTTTGTGAGTCCTTGTTACCAGCCTTATGCCAGGTCTTGGAGGTCATTTTTGGTTTGGTGAAACCATCTACCATCACAGTGTCTCTAACTTTTGCCCCAGAGACTCTTGCTCTGCCAAGCTAGCTTTTATGAAGGCTATGTCTCTGAGCTCTGAGGACTCTATATTTTAATATAAATCCTCATCGACACTGAAATCTTCAGAAAAGATACCGTGGACCACATTTTCCTGAGCAAATATAATACACAGTCTTTATGCTTGTGTTTGAACACGATGGTCAGGGGAGTTTGTCCCGTGGCATTTTTGCATTCCAGGCACAGCATGCTGCAGTTGACAAAGGCCTTCAGAATCAACAGTTGGCCTGCTTCTGCAGCTGCATGAATGGGGCATTTAGAGACATCTGCATGAAGGGCTTCATAGCACCATGCTCTACAGGGGTGAACAACAACTGCCTCGTGGGGCTGCACACCCTGCTTCAGGGCCCATTCAGTGAGTTCGATGTACCCGTAAAAGGCGACAATGTACAAGGCTACCTTTTTCTGATACCTGAATGAGTAGAGCAAGGTGTGGGGGGTATGTTTAGTAAGTCAGCAAACAGACAAAAGTAGTTACACTAAATACCATGAAACATTCTAGTTACAGTGTTTATTTCCTCCTAACTTTTTTTTTTGTCTTTTTTTTCATGTCCGGCAACAGACCGCAACCCTCAGTGTCGCGCCCTTACCGGACCGGGACCAGCAACGGGATCACAACCCTCGGCGTTGCTCCCACGCCTCGCTCAGCCAGTGAGCAGGAACCAGTCTGTATGTGGGATCCGAACCCTCAGCGGGAGCGCCGCCGCGCTTCCCAAGCGGCGCACTGTAGCAGTGTGCCACCGGGCCGGCCCCTATTTCCTCCTAACTTTTACCTAAACATGTTTTTAGAAAAAGCATATAGTAATATACAATTTAAATTGCACAAATCTTGCTTATACACATTATCCTACTATACATATGTAAATAATTCAAACTACTTTCCTTGAAGTGGTTGTCTTTCTTATGAAAATCAAATGCTTAGGAGAAATATCAAGCTATTATATTAAATAAGAAATACTGGAAGCAATTCAGCACATTTCAGAAATTTGGAAGTTTTATGTTTGTTTTGTCCTTTCTTTCTTTCTCTCTCTTTTTTTTTTTTCTTTTTGGCAGCTGGCAGATACAGAGATCTGAACCTTTGACCTTGGTGTTATAACACCATGCTATAACCAACTGAGCTAACCAGCCAGCCCCTGTTTTCTCATTTGAACAATCCTTTTTTTCTGGCTTCTCAATATCTCTACTACCCTAATCTAAACCACTACCTACCCCCACTGCCCCCCCTGGTGCTAGCCTCCTAACTAGTCTCCCACCCTCTTATTCCCATGCAAGCCTTTGTCACACAGCACTCAGTCATCTTTTTATTCCATATATTGGAGGATGCTTATCCTCCATTTCAAACCCTCCAATAGCTTTCCAGTGCAACTGAAATTCATCCTCCTCACCTTGGCCTCCGAGGCCCCTCCTTCACCTAGCCCTGCCCCCTTTCCTACCCCACTTCCTACCACTCTCTTCCTCTTTCACTGTATTGGAGTCACACTGGCCTTCTGACTGTCTTTCCAGCACTCTGTAAGGCATAAGTTGGGTGACTGGTGATGGCTGTTCAGACAAGTGAGAGGGAGGCAAACCTCAACATGGTCCCGCCAGGCATTGTCCAGGACACATTTGGGCAGGGCTGTCTTTCTCCACTGTAAGACGGAGGCAAGCTAGCCTGACATCACACAAACCCTACTGCATATACCCCACTCTCCTGTCTCTGATTACATGCTCACCACCCCATCTTTCGATGTGTATGTAGCTTCCCATGTATTTTTCTGTATGGGGAAGATGCTCTGTCCAGAGCATGTGGAACTCTGACTCTCTGGTGTGGAGTATGCATAAAGCAAATGTACTTCACAGGGCCTTGCAGTTTCAAGTATTGACCTTGCAAAGGACCAGAAATTTTCCTCAGGCTATATAGTCTCTGATGTAAGATAAAGAGTTGTAACACAGCAAGGTTGCTGGCTCAAAGACAGACAGGTTACTGATTGATATGTAAAGATACTGGGAAATTGCTGTAAGAAGAGAATGTTTGCTAAAATCAAGCTTTTGTTAGTGGATCAACTTAATTGCATGTTACCAGCTTCTATTGTTAAACTTGTTAAACTGTATTTAGCATAAACCCCACCTATGTTCTCTTCCTGTAACTTCCTGGTCTGGAAAATAAATTCAGGAAGAGAACCCCAATTCATGGTTAATTTCCCAAATGGAAGGAATGCCTCTATCTTGAGGGTTCTTGGAGATTAACCTGTTTGTGGAGCTTCTCACTGCTTAGAAGAGATGGGCTTTGAGCAATCTTTGGCGGCTCTGTCTCCCAGGGGAAAAGAGGTGACAAATCCGTGGGAGGCAAAGCAACACTCTGGCAGTTAGATTATAACTAATTTGAGTTATATATTAATATGCTGGTATTTGGCTCATGCATCAATTTCTTTTGAAATTCATTAAGGCAAGTCAGCATTTCTTTTTTTTTTTTTTAAAGATGACCGGTAAGGGGATCTTAACCCTTGACTTGGTGTTGTCAGCACCACGCTCAGCCAGTGAGCAAACCGGCCATCCCTATGTGGGATCCGAACCCGGGGCCTTGGTGTTATCAGCACTGCACTCTACCAAGTGAGCCACGGGCCGGCCCAAGTCAGCATTTCTGAATTTGAATCTGGGATGAAGAGCCCCCTCCAGGATGGACAGTGAAGATGCCCCCTGAGCTCTCTGGGCAGCTGGGCAACTAGCCTTCCCCTGATGATACCGAGTTCTTGGCCCATATCTTTCCTTCCAACCTCTATGGTGTGATTTACGGCCCCAATAAGAACTTTATGCTTGACATGTGCATGACAGAATTCCTCATCTTCTCCCCCAAATCTGCTCCTCTTCAGTTCCCTTCCTGGATGAACAGACCCTCCATCTACCCCATTATTCATTCTGAGAGACTGGACTTCATCCTGGTCTTCTCCTCCCTCTACCTCTTCCCGTATCTAATATGTTACCTCAACCGGTTGATTCTGCCTCCTAAGTGTATCTTTTCACAGACTGCCCTCTTAGCCCCACATCTACTGCATAAGCCTAGTTGGGGCCACCATCATCTCTTGGCTGTCTCCCTGTGTCCCTGTAGCCTCTGTTCCTCACACCGCCATCAGAGCCATGTTCTATAACGCAGATCTCACTTTGGCCCTTCCCTTCCTTCAGTGTCTCCCCAGCACTTGAAAGATAAAGTCCAAATTCCTTTATGTTCCTACTTAAGTAGGAACTGGTCTCTTCTTATACTTCCAGCCTCTGGCCACTAACTCCCTTTCACTTTATAATCTACCACATGGCACATCTTTCAGTTCCCTGAATCTATTCTCTTGCCTCTGTGCCTTTGTACATGTGATTCCATCTATTTTGGAACATCCTTTTTTCTTCTCCCTACTGCCTACCTGAATACCTGTCCTTCAGATCTCAACTTGGATTTCTCTTTCTCAGGATGCTCTACCTGATTCCCAAAGTCTAGTTCATGTCCATGCCATACATTCCTGTATCATCCTGCACTGCGCCCTTGTCATAGCACTTTCCACACTGAACGGTAACAACACCTATCACTTATATACTGCTTATCATAAGCCAAGCACCCTTCTAAGTTCTCTTTGATTATTAAGTCATTCAATCTCTAAAAGAGTTCTATGAGATAGATACAATTATTATTCCCATTTTGTAGAAGAAACTGAGGTACAGGATGGTTATATAACTTGCCCGAGTTTACATAGCTAAACACTGAGGGTGCAGGACTTTGAACCCGGAAGATGGGCACTGGCATTTGCACTTCTAAACATTTTGCAATTCTGCTACTCCAGGAACTGGCTATTTGTTTTCTATTTCTTCTACTGGACTGTATGTAAGCTTGCCAAAGGAAGGGGCCATATCTTGTTTACTGCTCTATTCCTGGGATCTTGAACAGTACACAGTAAATGCTCAGTAACTATTCGTTGATTGGGTGGAGGAATAAAAGGAGCTTTTCAGTCTGATTATTTGGGAGCTCACTCTGAGAGCTTAGATTTTATTTAAAGATTAAGAGTATAGATGGCTAAACACATGAGCACTCAAATTAAATTGTCAGGACCCAGTACCCAGTTCTGCCCTTATTAGTTATGTGACATTGTGCAGGTTTCTCAATCTCAGTTTCCTCATCTGCAAAACAAGATAAATATGTATCCACCTTATAAAATTGTTATAAGTATAAAATGAACTTATAAATATAACACAGTGTCTGCCACAAAGAAAGTATTCAATAAATATGCATTATTAAAAGTAACAATGCAACATAGATATTTCTTTGGATTCAGAACATGAAAGAAGAGAATTATCACTATCCCTAAATAGAAATTAATGTACAATATTTGAGTATTTTATAAAATTGTAAAAGCTGCTATTCCAATCTGTTACTTCATAGAGTCCTTAGAGCTCCTAGTAGGTATATAGGCTTCTGTAAAATATGACTAAATCACCCATGAGTAGGCACTGTTCCAAAATATCACTGAATTAAAACCTATAGGTTAATGCAGGTTATGCATCTGGGAAGCTGCTGGCTGCAGCAATACCTTACGATGCCCACCTGCTTCTCTGAGCCTGTCCTACTCCACTGCCCCAGCTACACATGCCATGCATCATGTATGGCAAAAATGTGAATGCTTGTATTAAATGCAGTTTGAAAAATTACTTGTGAGCTTAGGAAGAGGTGGCCAATGTTTTCAGCCAATCAACTAGCAAGTGTTTTTTTTTTTTTTTTTTTTTTTTTTTTTTGTCCTTTTTTGAGACCGGCTGCACTGCGCTCAGCCAGTGAGCGCTGTGAGCACTGTGACCGCACCGGTCATCCCTATATAGGATCTGAACCTGCGGCGGGGGCACTCCTGCGCTCCCAACACCACACCCTCCCGAGAGCGCCACGGGCTCGGCCCACAAGAGTTTTTTTTAGAATAACTGAATGTCAGAGTGGCAAGGTACTTATTCTGACAGCCTTTAAAAGT